TATCAAATCCAAGTAGTACACAAACAACGAATACTCTGCGAAATCAGCTTCTACACCCTAAGGATAGGGTTGGCTACTTTGACAGAAAAGAGGTCATTTACAAAATTCCTTGTAGCGGCTGCAATGCAGTTTATTGTGGACAGACAGGACGATCGGCCTCCGCACGCTTACGCGAACATCAACGAGCGGTAAAAGGGCGATATCACTTGTCCGAGGTCGCAATGTACACATTAGAAACTGGACACCAATTTGTATGGGACGAAACTTGCATTGTTGGCTCTTGCCCATGCAAGAAAGGCCGCGAGTTTTTAGAAGCCATCAACTCCGACTTGTGCATCAACAGGCACGTTGCGGTGGATTCAATGTACACCAATCTTAAAAAAGCCTGAAAAAAGGGCCAACCACCAAAACATGCTATCAACCACAGATGACGCAGCATTTTCTATTTTTTTACACGTTTAAAAAAGCGGACTGCTCTTCACACCATTCCCTTGCGTCCGAAGACGACCTGGTGTGCCAATGTCGAAAATTTACGATAAAGTTTGTTCCTTTTTCCCGAAGAATCTCTTCTATCAAAAGAGTATTATCCATTTGCTGTCGAATAGTTATCAGTACCTGCCAGGTCTTAACAGATACAAACTGCAAGACCGATCTAATGCGACAACTAAAAATCGCAATGTATTTTCTTGTTAGGACGGCCCAGCACGTGATTCATCACCCTTGTCATCCTGAGGTCACGCCTGACAAAGAACCATGAACACACATAAGTGCGCAGTCCCAAAAAGCCGTGAACATGAATAAGAACGCCGCCGAGTTATGCATTTCCCTGAGAGGTCCACCAGCACCCGATGGCTGCCCGGATGGATGTTTATTTTATCACGTCAAGAAGTACGTGAGGAAGATGTGGGACCCAGGCGTCCGAGGGAGGCATAGAAAAACACAACCGCTTAAACACCCCACCGTTGACCCAAGCAGGAAGAATTATTAAGCCCGTCTTTCAAAAGCGGAAGGTGTTATAGGGAAGCGAGCGGCGATGCACTCAGAGCCTACGGCCTGGAGTCATTC